TGTATGTATGTATGTATGTATGTATGTATGTATGTATGTATGTATGTATGTATGTATGTATGTATGTATGTATGTATGTATGTATGTATGTATGTATGTATGTATGTATGTATGTATGTATGTATGTATGTATGTATGTATGTATGTATGTATGTATGTATGTATGTATGTATGTATGTATGTATGTATGTATGTATGTATGTATGTATGTATGTATGTATGTATGTATGTATGTATGTATGTATGTATGTATGTATGTATGTATGTATGTATGTATGTATGTATGTATGTATGTATGTATGTATGTATGTATGTATGTAGGTATGTACATATGCATTATAAACGGAAAATATTACAATAAACTGATTTTTATTTCTGCCAAAAAAAATAAAAATCAAAAAAGATTTTTATTTCTGCCCAAAAAAAAATAAAAATCAAAAAATAATTATTATTTTTTGCCAAAAAAATAAAAATCAAAAATTTAAAAATCATATCGTTTTATAAAAATATAGCTCAAACCAGTGATGCCAGGAGATTTTTTTCAGAAATCCCTACGCTTATGAGAAAAAATCCCTTTTTTCCCTACACCCACTTTTTATTTTCCCTACATTTTTCCCTACACTATTTTTTCCATTTTTTTCAAAGTTTATCTTAAAAAAATACAAAAATAACATCAAAAACTAAAAAATTAGCTACGTTTTATAATATACATATATGTATGTATTTTTTTTTAATTTTTAGGAATGAAATTTCTAGAATTTAAATTTAAATTTTTTTTTTCTTTCAATTTTACATCATACAAATCTTCCAACCCTGACTCTTCAGTTAAGATTAAAAAAAACAATTGAAAGATTTATGGCAGTATATCGAATCGTGATAAAAATTTATTTTATGTGCCTCCAACAAAAAATTTTCATAAAATAATTATTTTAAATAAGGTTTACTTTTGCGTTTACTTTTTGCGGTTTACTTTTATAAATTTTCAGAACATTAAATTCATTTTTTCAATCCTGAGTTACTGCATTAAGCCCCCGACTACTCTATCTATAAGGAGTCAGAATATATCGCCCTACAGGATTGGCATAATCCAAAAAGTCGTTTCAAGAAAAATGGATATGAATATTTAATGACATTTAACTATTGTTTTAATAACTTTTAAACAAATCAAGGGGTTTTAAAAATCCAGATTCAGATAGTTGAGGTTAATATGTTTCTCATCTAAATTGAAATTAAATTTTTAGTTGTCTAATATTCACAAAAACGTGGGTTTTAGTTTTTACGTTTACAAAAAATCGATTTCACATCGAAAATAATAGACATATTTGAAATTTCATAAATCTATATGAAAGATTTTAGTATGTCGCATGTTTTGAAGACCTTAGTTCAAGAAAGCCGAATTTTGGATTATGCCAGTCTTGTAGCGATATGTAGGTACATATATTGTAGAAATTACAAGCGGAATTTTTACTAACGATACACTTAAAACTGATTTCATTTTTAATTTAAAAGTTTAATACATGAAAGAGTATATTTTAGTTGTTAAAAACTATGAAATTGAAAAATCCCTACAATTTGACAATAGTAAGAAATCTTTCCCTTTTTCCCTACACGTGAAATTTTTGAAAAAAATCCCTACAAAAAGGGAAAAATCCCTACACTTGGCATCACTGGCTCAAACCAATAAAAATGGTATGTTTGAATTTGTTTTCCGATATTTTATTGTATTTGATTTTTTCTATAAAAAATTCAAAAATAATTATTATTTACGATCCCTGGATGTAACAATACGTACAGATTTGAAAATAATTGTTTTCCAGGGTTGCCAAGTTTTCGTTATAAAAATGTAGCTAAAAATTAGTATAAAGCTGTCTTCGCCTATAAGTTTCCAAAAACTGATTAATTTTTAATACAACCTAAGTCCATGGTTGGGGTATGAAATGAGGTTCTCAAATTTAATTTTCCAGGGTTGCCAATATCTGATAAATGTTTCAAAAGTCAATTTAAATTGGAAAAGTTTATTAAAAAACAAATTTGTATACGTTTTTGTAAATATTTTTAATTTTTACCAATATTTTCATAGCAAAACGCTGCAAACCTGTTAAAATAAAATTCTTGACTCCCTAAATCGTTCTCAACCTCTGGACTTAAAAATATTCTTCGTAGTTCTAATATTACCCGAGTTATTAGAATGTTTCCTTAGGTCCTTAAAAACTGTAATATTTAATTTATTTATGAAACCTGGTAACCCTGTTCAAACATTTTTTCAAGCTTTATACTTTCCCTATCCACTGTCTATGGTTTTATTCTTGTTGGTTCATGGGGTCTTAAGAAATTTCACTATAAAACTGTATTTGATTAACCCTTGATAATTAATGAATTTAAACTTATTTGCACAACTTGGCAACTCTACCAATTAATTTTTCAAATAGCCCTTTATTTCCCCTATACATAGCCTATAGTTTTATTAAAATCGCTTAATTGGTTTCCGAGATATTCCAGTTTTAAATAATCCCACTTTGTACTCGATTTCTGTAAGATGGTAACCCTGGAACTACCTCTGGTCAGCGCCATCTATTGGGCAACACAATTTTTGATCGACAAAACAAAAAATGAGCCACCAATAGATGGCGCTGATTTTATGTCGAAATACAATATTGCCAACATCAAAAAATACAAATTTCTTAAGCGGCATTGCCAAATTAAATTTTGATTAATCTCTGTATTTATAACGACTTTTTATAATTCAAATTGCATTTGAATCAATTTGAAAGGGATTTAAAGCGATTCTTATAATTTTATAGGGATTAACCAAATTTAGAATATATAAATAAATAAAAACAATTGTCTTAATATGTTTTAAAGAGAATTTTTTATTTTATTTTTTTAAGTTTTTATTAATTTTGAATGAATTTTTGTTTAATTTAGAAACTTATTAGTAGCTATTAAAGACAAGATAGTTGTAGATGTATTTAGCTTGGTAACTATAAAAGTTCTGTTGATTTAAATCCTTGAGACTTCCTTCAAAACTGAAACCAAAAATTGCTCCCATAATATTTTGTTTAAATCTAGACTCTGGAGAATGTTTTCAGAATGAAATTGTATAATAATTTCCATAACAACCAATGTTGCGTATGCAGTTTAAAATTACATATATTTCAAATTAATTGCACTTAGTGTCAGAATCAACATGATAATTTACGCCAACCTTAAACTCATGGAACAACTTAAAATTCCATTATAATTAAATGCAAAAATGTTGTTCGAGAAAGATTTATAAAAACAACAAAAAACGTGATTGGTGAGATCAAATAAATGTTAATCACGACATAAATTAAAAACATACAATTAAAAACATGGATTTGAAATACGATTTTGTTTAGTTTAACAGAAACAATAAAACCAAGTATTATATTTCTTTTTTAATAATTTTTGTATATTTTTTATATATATTTTATAATTTTTTTTCTTTTTTAATTCATATGTAAAGTTTTAAACAAATTTATCAATAATCGTACTTAAGTTAATTCGAAATGTATAAAGATAAACATAGAAATATTAATTATAATACTAAAATTAAATTATACAATTAAGTTTAAATTAAATGTCTTGTTATATGATTATTTATAAAAAACATAAACATTTTTAGAAACATATTACTAAAAATAGTTCATTTTGAAAACAAATATGCAAATTTCTAAAATTGTATGGGTTATAGTAGTCGCTTTCAATAATTAATTAATAAAAAAAATTTTGATGAAAATGATAATAAAGAATTATTTACATAAATTAAAACAAAATAATAGTAATAAAAAAAAAACACAAAAGAGAAACAGAAACAAAAAAAACATATATTTCTACACCATTTCCAAAATTATTTTGTTTATTAAAATAACTATAAAAATAGTGTAGATATTATTTAATACAAACAAAAAACTTACAGAGAATATATTATTAAATATTAAAGATTTAAATATAAGCAGTAAATATTGCTGCTCGATTGATGATTGAAGAAAAAGCTAAAATTAATTTAAAAATATTTTTAAGTTTAGAGCAGTAAAAAGTATTTCATATTTATTCGTTTATTTTTTTATGGAAATTATTAGTATTTTTCGCATTTTTTTTAAACATTCATTTTATTACAAAATATTTCTATATACTGGTAATTTTGTTTAAAAACTAAATGAAATTATGTTTACTAATTATTGTTAATAATAATTAAAACTAATTTGGAATGTAGCAATTGCTTTCATTTTTAATTTTTTTTCGTTTTTTTTTTTTGTAATTTATCTCTTTTTAGGTATTTAGTTAATTTTACAAACTGTTTCGAAATATATAATCACAGTTTTAGTAGGATTTTGTTTTAATTTACTTTTTAAGCTGTGTGTTGAAACTGCTTATCTTTTAAAGTTTATTTCAGTGCTTAGCATTTAAAATTTGTTACATTTAAGTCCTTTAGTTTTTATGCTTTTTAGCAAGTTTTCTTTAGAAAAAAAAAGGTTTAAATTTTAAATACTGCTGTTTTTGTTTTTAACTTGTATATACAAAATATATTTATGTTTTTAAAACATTTTTAATTTTTTTTTTAATTTCTCTTTATTGTTGTTATAAATGTAATTTGTTTAATTTTGCATTTTATTATATAAAAATTTGTAACAATCATGTCAAATACTTTTGTAAATGGATGTGGTTTATAATTTGTATTTTCATACAATGTGGGTATTTTTTCCCCCAATATATAAAATAAAATATTTTGAAAATTATATAACTGATTCAAAAAATACAGATTGAAATCTATTTTATAACCTTGCCTGGTTGTTCCACTAAATGTGAATAAATTTTGAAACGAAAACAACAAAAATTTTATTTACAAATATCTGCGTTCAAAAACAATAACAGAAAATTCATTTTAAAATTAGATATGAAAATCACTGTTTTTTTAGAGAATTTTTATACAAAATTGCAAAAATTGTTATTTTTTATAAATACAGGCCAAAGTTTTTAATTTAATTCAAAATATTTTGTTTTATAAAATGAGTTCTTTAACTTACATTTACAATTTTTTAACTATTACTGTTTAATTATTAGAAAATGATTACAATTTTATATAAATTAATTTATTTTGATGTTGCTGTATGTTGACACTTTATAACTGGCAATTTTGAAACAAAGTGATTCATTTTTCAGAGATAAAATAATGAGTGATTTGTCCTGAATGGAAAGATGAAAGCTTTTTAAACTACATTTACATTATTTTAAAATGTTAGTTACGAGATGTCAACATGTAAATATCAATACAATAGTTACGCTTCAGATCAAGTTTATTATAATTGTATTATATTAAGTTTTAGTAGAAGTTAATTTAAGAAAAAGGACTGAATTGGTAATGAAATTTTGAAAATAATTGATATATTTCTTTAAAGAAAGCAGAGAAAGTAAAAAAAAAAACGTTTTAGCTAAGTTTGTTTTGAAAAACAGAATTTTAAAATTTCAATTATAATTTGCAAATAAATTTAAACCCATGACATAACTTTTAAATTTAAAGCAATTCCTTTTTAAATCTAAACAAAATCAATTCAGTCCCTTTTAACTTTAAACTAAATAAATTTCCATTTAAACATTAAATACAATAACATAATAATATACATATTTCTCTATGTAAAATTGAAAATTAACAATTAGAAAAAATACCCACTTTTAAAGCAATTTCCAAACATATACATTACAATACAATAAATTTTATAATTAATAAACAGTCTCTAGTCAAATATTTTGAGTTTAAAGTAAGTTTTTTTGTAATAAATCTATATATATATTCGTTTGTCTTTTTTTGTAATTTACTTTTGGGAGAAATTGTTTTAATTTATAAATTGTGTTTTACTTTTGAAAATATATTCAAAAATTTGCACTTGCTTTTTAAATATTAAAGAGTCAGTTATTTTGTTATAGTATAGAAGTAATTTAGAAAACATAAATTTTATATAATTTCAACAAAGTATACACAAAATTTAATAAACTACTTATAGGGTGGTAGTCTGTTTATAGGGTTATTTAAGAAAACTCACCATGACTTATTAATAGTTAAAGATTTAGATTTTTAATTGTAGTTAGAATATTGTTTAGCATTCGGTGGCAAAATAAAAAATCTCTACAATATCCTCATCTTCTGAGTCATTATCCTGTTCTTCCTGTATACTAGCTTGGGATTTATGTTTAGGATTAATGACGACACCACCATTTGGACCACCTTTATTGAAGCAATTTGTTGTGTAATGGGAATTATTAGAAGTAGTAGTAGCTGAAGTAGTAGTTTTGCATTTACTGCTTAGGCCACGAACAACAACGTCTTCGCCCAAACATTGACGAAGAACGTTGGCCTATAGTCACACTTTTGAAGCGGTATGTTGCGGTCCAGCTACGGCACCTGAATATTGAGATTGTGTTTGATTGTGTTTTTGTACCGTTTGGTATGTAGGCTGTGATTGTTGTTGCTGCCCGGCAGCAATACTATTACCAGACGAGGGACCACCCAAAGTGACTTGAGTTATAAATGGTCCTCGACTGCGTGCACTACTATTCAAGGTGGCTGGTGAGAAGCCATTCATGGCAGCCGTCCTCCAATGAGCCTGACTGGTTGTTGTGGCGGATGAGGCTTGTTGTGAATGATGCGCAGGATGTTGATGTTGACTGGCATTTATTGTTATGCCCGCATGACCATTGTGTTTAATACTGCCGGTGCGTTGTTGGAAACTATTGTTAAGCATGGATCCTGGACTTAAATTATGTTGTTGTGCTGTTTCGTAATCGTAATAATTTGAACGTATACTTGTGTTATTGCTGTTCGTTTGATACTGTTGCATGTTTATATCCTGTGAGCGCGCACTACGTTGGGAATGATAATGATGATGACGACGACTGTTATTATTATGTTTATACACACATACATTTTTCATTTATATGTATAAATAACAAATATATTTACAATAGTTTTTAAATTGCAGTTGGTAGAATATAAAAGCCCAGCCATATAATTATGCATTTTATTATTATTTTTTTTTATTAATTTTTTTTTTTTTTAATAAAAGCAGAAGAAATTTGTTTAATTTTCATGAAAATAGATAAAAAGTTAAAGAAAGTAAATAAATGAATAAATGTTTAAATGAAATACAATAGCAACAGCAGCAATTGAGCTAAAATTATGCGGTATGTAGCGGGTTTAAAGCAAAGATACAGGCAGCCAATTATAAAAATAAGCAAAATTATATTAATCTAATTAATTAAACAAAACAGATAAAACTGCTACAAATAATCAGTATTTGTATTTATCAAAAAACGAATGCATTAAAAGTAACTTTTAGAAATTTTATTTGCAAAATATTAATAAAATAAAAAGTTTTTAAACGATCTTGCAACTATCTATGAAAAATTTAATTAAATTTATTTATTAAATTTCTATAGAAAGCTGGATTTGGTAACGACCGACTGTAGAATCCAACTGTTAAAAGCTTTCTTTAACAATAATAATAAACAAAAGCTCTAAAGATATTTTTATTTTCTAAAATTTCAACAAAATTTAAAACAAAATGAATGGAAAACTACTTTTAAAAATAATAAAGCTACTAAAACTAAAAAAGCAATTTGTAAAGAAAGATATAAACAAACAAATCAGCCAAATATTTGTTTGATGTTACCAAAAAAAAAGTAATTGTTTCAAAAAAGTTACCTTTCTGCTTCGACTTTAAGACGTTGTCTAAGCACTTGTTGACGCATGCATTCTAAGGTTGATTCCGACAAAACATCATTATTTGAGCAGTTATCATCACTATGACAGAAATGGGAAAAGTTTGGTTTTATAATTCAAGATTTTTCAAACAATTTCAATTTAGAATTCAAAACGAAAGTTGTAGGAGTTGTTGGTATGAAAAAGAACGCCATGAAATATAAATAAAATGAAAAAATTGCTGCAGTTTGATACCAACCGAAAAAAGCTTATGAATGTTGAGCGGATATTTAAATTAAAAAACCGTTTCTTATTTAAAATAAATAAAATGTTTGCTATTTTTTGGATGCAGTAAAAAATATGATTAATGATCATGTAATTTGCTCCTTTAGCCCATAATGTTATGTTTTTGTTTAGATTGATTTGAAAAAAAGCAGTATTGAAATTTGTTGCTCACCTAATTTGTTGATGATGATTGTGTTGTTGTAGCTCTTCATAGTTGGAATAGTGTTGATAGCGATGATTGAATATATCATTTTGATGAATGCCACCATTTGTATTACTATCAACATGATTTGCTGAGCCTCCGCAGCCTCCAGTACCATTTGCATTAGCTGGTGGTAGTGGTGGAGGAGGTTGATAAGCTGGTGGAGCTAATTTGGCATTACGATCTAAAGCTGCCAATGCAGCAGCAGGTATTTGATTATTGGCAGGCGTTCTTTCATTTGCAGCATTATTTGTAACGGGAGGCTGGTTTTCCGAAGGTGCTACTACATCTTTACGGTTTTTACCAAAACGAAACATGTAGCCTATGCCTCGTAATATGCCGGGCTTTTTAGCTCTAGACTTGTGTTTACCATCATTAAGGGAACTTTGGAAGGGGCCATTGCGTTGAGTAAAACCACCTTCTGCTGCATCTCCGTCTTCTAATAGCCAGGTTTGACGAGCTTCTTCAAATAATAATACACAGATTAGAGATTTTTTCCCAATAAAAAAAAACATTAATTAGACTTACTCTTTACATCATGATCACTGGCAACAGCCGCTCTTAAACTCTCTTCGCGTCCTCTGCCGCGTGGTGCTCTTAGGGTGGTGGGCCCACCTCTTGGCTCCTCTGACATTTGTATTTCTTGTACCATGGTTTGTAAAGACTCTAGAGAAGAAGATTTCTTTAAACCCAAAGAAGGACCCAAATCACCCACTTGATCTCTAGCTTCAGACTGTATCTGCTGCTGTTCAATGCCCGAGTTGGTTTTAGCATGTTTGTAACCGGGAATTCTAGCATTAGCTTCTGCTATACGAGCCGATAATGATTCCATAGAACCACTAAACACTGCTGACTTAGTATGGGCAATACGTCTCTCACGTTCTCTTTCCTCACGCAATTTCTTATTACGCTGATATGTGCCAGTTTCGCGAGCATCTAAGGCAGCATGATGTTTCTCGGAAATGGAACGTCTACCCAAAGCATCACGGCTAAAATGTTCGACTCCCGAATTGTTGGTTTCAAGACTAAGCTGTGAGGAATAAGTGGCATCGAAATTTTGAGGAGCAGATCCAGTTGTAGGATTACTGGAGGCGCTGTTATTGATTACACTAGAAGCTATAGATTCAATGGGACGATGAGGAAGAGTTCTAAACAAAAAATTAAATGCAATTACATTTTTTAAACCTCAAACATTTATAATTTTTTATGTATTCACTTACGGTGATGTTGGCTCGGGATCATGTTCTATCAAAACTGAATTATTAACATGTTGTGCTGGATGATGTACAGCTGGTGACCAGGTTTCATTAGTGGCCATATAATAGCTCTCATTGCGTAGAGCATGCGAAGCACTACTCTTAACACCTGCTGCGGAGTTTGTAGTAGCTGCTGTTGAGCGACCTTTTTGTCCTGAATTGCCAGAGCAAGCACCACCGGTTAGTCTATCCAAAACGGGGTTGCTCCAACTAATAAATATAATCAATTAAATTTCAATTTCATTATAATTTGCTAAAACAACTCACCGATTCATTTCACTATTCGAACTGCCACTATTACGTTTATCTGCCGAACGTTTTTCTGGACTTAAATAAATCACTGTAGCTCCACTAGTGTCACTGGTATTTGAGCTTTCATTGGTATGTTCCAATATATCACCCGAACTGGCTGATCTGGTGATTTTGCGAGCAACTTGTAGAGTAATCATGCCAGGATGTCTGCCTGGATTATTGACAATGGCATGTTTTAAGGTGTTCATAGCTTCAGCATTACTCTGCCCCAATAGGGAGACACCATTTACACTGACCAGTTGATCATTCATGCGTAAACGGCCATCTCGTGAGGCGGCCCCACCATGTATGACATTCTTAACAAAAATACCCAAATCTCCATCGTTTTTCATGGAACCATTCGAACTGCCAGTAGAGGAGCCGGTAATATTGGAACTTGTCTTGCCTTTAACACTAACACCGAGACCAGCTTTCTCGGTGTCGTGAACGGGTATGTGTAGTGTAAGCATTTCTCTGGAACGCCAGGCAATACCAGCTTGTAAGCTGTCCTGTTTGTTTAAGAAAAAAATTAAAAACAATTTCGTTAATATTTAAGGGGGATTAAATAAGTTAAACTTACACTTGAAGCCGCCGATTCACTGCCAGCATCAATGAAATGTTGAGATTCGTTAAGATTGTGATTTTGTTGCTGCTGATGCTGTTCGAATAATGAACGGGCACTATTGGACTTTTTAACATCTTGCTGATAATTTTGCATAGAAGCAGGTAGCACTGGAGCTGGTGGTTTAGGTGGTGAATCAAATTCATTTTCTTTGTTTTCGAAATTCTGCAAAAAATATTAAAATTAACATATTTTTTTAATTTAAATTAAATTAACTATAACTTACAATTTCCCTTTCTTCTGGTTCCGCCAATTCTTGTTGTCTTGATACCACCAATCTTACAGTAGCTCCTGGTAAAGTGGCTCTTAATATGGACACCACATCCGTTTGTGTTTTACCCGTCATGGCCACACCATCTACCTCTAAAAGGCGATCTCCCGGTTTTAAACGACCATCTTCTATGGCAGCTCCTCGTGGTAATATATTCTTAATGTAAATGGGACAATGACCACCGGCAGGATTGTCACGTGTTGTTACCGAAAATCCTAAACCGTTGGGACCTTTTTTCAATATAATCTCTATTTTGCGTCCTAATTTTCGTGTATTGGCCACTTGCAAAGAAGCACCTACTGGTGCGGTATTTGGCTTACGGGTAGGCGAAACTGTGGCTACTTTACTCTCTAAACTAGAGGCCATTTTCTCTTCAGCTTCTATCATTTCAGCCACCTTAGAGTCTCTACGACGATTTTTCGAGCCTTTGGCATTTGCTCTTATTACACGCACTCTTAACTCGGAAGATTCTAAAGCTTTGCGTAAATAATCCTGAACTTCTAGCTCTGTTAGACCCATTAGTTTTGTACCATTAATTTCCAATATACGGTCACCTTTGCGTAAACGGCCACGCTCAGCGCGACTGCCGGGTTCTACATGTTGTACCAAGAGCCCACCACCATGTTCATTGTCGGGTATAGCGGTTAAACCCAAAGGACTACCATACTCATTGATGAGTAAAAGCATTTCACCGTCTTTTTCCCTTATAGATTCGTAGGCTTGGCCTAAAGGTTCTTTACGTGTACTTTCCCGTGGCAAAGACTTGCTGGAGAAAAATTGTTGTTGATAATCTCTAGAGGGTTGTTGAGGCTGTTGGGATTGGTGTTGTAACTGCTGTTGTTGTTGCAATTTTTCAGCTGCATCCATCCATTTATAACCGGTGCCATCACCCAAAAACTGCATAGAAAGTCTGCCGGATCGAGCAAAAGGTTGGTGAGCTGGTACTGGTGGTGCTTGATGATGGCCATCATCTTCTTCCTCCCACTGAGGTGGTAAATAACCCGCCTTTTCTATGTGAATTCTTTCGGGAGAATCACCAGCACAATGAGGTGCCGCTGCTGACCAACGTTTATTGCCATTTTCAGCCGCTTTCAGAGAGGCCAATAAATTAGGATCACTACTACGACGCACTTGTAGACCCAGTCCAGTCATAGGACATGCTGTCGTGCTGGTTACCTCAATATGAGGTGTGGAATTATCATTATGAGCACCATTAGTGGGCGCATCTGTATTTGTGGGATCACGAAATATATCGGGTGAACCAGTGCCAACTGATGAACTACCTGAAGCACCATCACCACCGCCCTGTGGCACACCTGGATCCGGTCCAGAATCTTCAAAACTAGCGTGTATATATTCACGATCATCGGCTACATCACGCACACAATCATCGGGATCTAAAATGCCGCATTGTGTTTGTAAATGATGTACGGAAACCCAAGAATCTGGATCCTGAAATTAGTTGAAAAAAGAATAATTAGAATTTGTTCGATTCTTTCTTTTAATTAATATTTGTATGTTAGTAAATTTTGTAATGGGTATTTATGTATTTAAAACGTGACTTGCATTTTATTAGTTGGGGTTGGTAAAGTTTTGATTTCCTTTAAAAATATAAATATTTTAGGTTTGACTGGTGTCCGACGATATTGGCGGAATATTAATGATTGAGAAATGTAAGTCAACCAATAGCTATAATGCTTTATCGATTAGAACATAAAAATTATAATGTTACAAAAAATAATGTTTATTCAAATGTGGGAATAAATTAAGCCTTTAAAAACTGGGGAGAACCAGTTTTACTTTTCGGGGATACTTAAAATTTCTAAGGGTCTAATTTTGAATAAGGTAGAACAAAGTTCTGTACAAGGGCGTTTTTTGTTTGTTTTTGTTTTAGAAAATTTGGCAATTTTTATATCTAAAATTTTAAAAATGAACCTAAAATATTAAGGCCTATAAATTCCATTTTAATCTTGATAAAATTTCGTTTTTTTTATTCAGATATCAACAGGTTTTTTGACTCTGTTTCCTCCAACTGCAATTTAATACCGAAAAAACAATAAATTATAAAAAAATATAAACAATTAAATGACTCATGTTTAACACCAAAATGTGTGTTTTTTAAAACAACATTTGTTAAATTTTTTCAATAAACAAAAGTTGTGGGAGTTGCATTTTTGATCTAAAAGAAGAAAAAAAAAAAAAAATGCCGACCAAAACTTCACACAATGTTAACTACTATTCCTACAATAACAACAACAAAATAAATAGACCAAACATTTGGACAAAACAAGATTGAATTAAAAATAAAGGCAGTTCGAAAAAAAGAAGATAAAAACCTAAAAAATTGCATCACAAACATGATGAAACCAAACGAAGCATGAAAACCAAAAAACCTATTTTTAACAAATTAAAAACAAATTTATTTAATAGAATTTGCATTTTGTTTTTTAATTTATGTAGGTTAAATGTTTGATGTGAATTTTAGCAAATAACATCAGATTGAAGGAATTCAGAAACTTCTAAATATTTTCATACTTTGGAAAAAAATGTATGACATGATAACCCTACGTTTTTTACTAATTATGAAAAGAATTGCTGTCTGAAAACTCTACATTGTTTACAAACAAAACATTTTTAGAGAGAGAGTAAAGTTGTCATTCAAAATTCTAACAAAAGAATAAATAATTGGCAATATTTAATAGAACTTTTTCCTTTCTTCCTAGAAATGGTGTATAATTAAACTTTTTTTAATAAATAAACAGAAAAAATATATTAATAATTGTATTGTACTCAACCGGAAATATGGCCATTGCTTTAACAGAAAACCCAAAGCAATTGTCATTTTTGATAAAATAATTAAACAAAAAAAAAAAAAAAAAACGCACAGAAGAAGGAAAAACTCCAACAAACAACATTACCATAAGATTAAAATAACTTTTTTTTTTGGAATAAAAAAACTTTTTATGACTTTAACTACATAGATATGCATAAATATGTATATTTACCTTTATATAACCATATGGTGATGGTGGTCTTTTGGTTGGTAATGTTAATGAATAGGATTTTTGTAAATAGACATGTTGTATGCCTTCATGTTTGGCGGAGACTTTATAGGTATGACGCCAACCAAATATGCCCGTTAATTTATTGGCCAATGCTGGACATTTTGGTGGTAAATCAAACATTGTTTAAACTCTTTGGTATTTAGTTGATTTATTAAATTTATGTTTTTTTTATTAATTTTATAAATTAAATAATACTTTTGTTATAGATAATTCGTTTCAATTAGTTTGGTTTTTTTTCAAGTATTTCTCACAATGTTTAAGACATTTTTAACTAATAATAAATAATAAAATTTTAATTTTTAAATAAATAGTTATATGTTATGTATTGTATTGTGTTTGTCTCAAATAATACTAAAGTATTGTTATACATTTCATTTTAAAAATATTTAATAAAATTTTTTTATCTTTTGCAAAATTGTACCAACAAAATTTTTTTACTGATAATGACGCAATTTTTAATTTCACTGATAATGAAAAACATTTTTTTGTAAAAATATCTTATATTCATTTACGTGAATAATTAAGTTAAATGTAAGGTAATCTTATCTTTTAGTTGCCATGAAATATTTCATGAATTTACTAAGATGCCAAATAATTGAAGACATTTTTTGGAATGTTAAAGTAATTAAAGAACTTTTAGTAAGCTTTCTAGATAAAAAAATTGTATTTTAATTTTTATATGATCTAGAAGCAAAATATCTTGTAAATGCAATGAAAATATTTTTATACTTTTTACAACCAATTTAAAAAACTGCAATTGCAACACTTTTGCAACTTTTTCAATATGACGAAATTAAAACAATAGAGAAATTTAAAGATAACAATTAAAGCAAATTTATATAAGTCACTCCGGGGAATTCATTTTTTATTGTATATCGTAAATCATTATTATTGTATATCATCGCTCCTTGCTACAAGACTGACATAACTCAAAAACAAATTGAAAATTGTTCTATAATAAACAGCTAGTCTAGCTGTAATCAAAACAAACTAATTTTTTAAATATATTGCAAATTATGACTCAATTCATAAATACAAACAAACACAATTTGCAAAATTTTTAAAATACCTAATAGATTACCAAAATAACACGTGCTTTTAAATGAACAAAAACAATAAAATATGAAATACATGTTAAATTGATTGATAATAAAATATGATCAATATGACATCTATAATGATGATTAATTTAATTTCAAACTTATATTCAAAAAGCATAACAAATAAAGAAAAAAAGCAACAAATACTTATGTATGTGTTATATCTAAAACATGGTCCTACGAGCTTAATCTTAAATCTATTAGATCTAGACTAGACTACGGTAGACAAGGCGTATTATCAATGAAATATATTAGCACTCAAGTTTTAAAAATGATTAATAATTTTTTGATAAATTTCAAGAATTTTAATACTTTAAATTTTAGCAAAACCCTAACTAATGTAAATAATGTCTTTTTACTATTTCTTTTCAAAACAAAAGTAAAAGTTTACATTACTTTTCTAATCATTTTGTCAATAAATAAAGAATAAAATAAAAGAAGAACTTATGTTGACTTAGTATGGAGTTGTTATCGCAAAAATTCCTTAACAATTGCATTGTTTTAAAAATGTTAAACACACTAATAGTGTAAACAAATTATTAACAATTTTTTCAAGTTATAAATTTACTAATTATGTATTTCCTTTAAAAAAAGATAAGAATCAATGTGTCAATGAGTTTTTGTAGGCATTGTTTTATAGTAAGTTTTTAAACAAATAAATAATAAAATGTTAAAAATAAAAACTTATTTACTCAAGCAAAAACGAAGGCAATTAAAAAGCATAAAGGTTTAGAGTTATAAACAATTATAATAAGAGATCAATCATTAATTCCAATAGGCTAAACTTTGTTATAAGTTAGTAAAATGAACTCATAATATCTACTTATGAAGATGTACGTGTGTGTATGTGTGGCTATAAGCTCTTCAATTACGAAATCTCTTAAATTTCTTCATTATCTTAAAAAAAAAAAGAAAATAAACTTGAGGATCATCTAACTTATATTAAGATATCTACTGCATTTAAAGGGTTTTTTATTGTTTACACTTTGGGTTATCGTAAACAATATGTAACTGTATAATCACATAACAAAAAACCGTTACCTGATAACTGATGTAAATCTCATTTTACTACAGGAAGATATTTTTAACTGTTGTACGCAAAACAATAATAAAAACACATTGTTAAAATTAAAAAAAGAAAACATTTCATACTAGATCAGACGACTATTGTTGACTTTATTTTTAGCTTATTTACAAGTACATAAGTATGTATAGTATATGTAGATGAATATGTAAAATATTTTGTGAAGAAAGAAAAAAATGATCGTGTAGTTAAACAGGTTAAAAAAATGTATGGTAGGAATGTGTAGTTGAAGTGAGTAAAGTTGGTAAATAATTGTATGCATTGCAATTTAACAATGTTGCAATTTAACGTGAAAAAAGTTGGAAAAAATTATGTTAGCAGTTAAAAAAAAACTGAAAGAGGAAGAGATTTGAAATTTAAAGGGTCATGATTAAAAACATGGAGTAGATAATTAGATAAAAATAAGCAATGACTTTTTAACAACAGTAGAGACTCTGAGTTTTAGTCCATCTATTTTTTGCCAATTTATAAAGAAAGTGGATAAAGTCCGATTTTTTAAAATCTTAAAATTTGTAGTACATTTGTTGAATCCAACAAATGAGAAAAAAGATATCATTAATATAGACTACACTAGACTATAAACTAGTCTATAGACTAGGACTATAGACTAGGCTAAAGACTCGACTAATAAGACTAGACTATAGACGCAGAACTATAGACTAGTCTAAAGACTCGACGATAAAGAACTAGACTATAGAACTAGACTATAGACTAGACTATAGACTAAGACTATAGACTAGACGAATAGCAGACTATAGACTAGACTATAGACTAGACTATAGACCTAGAGTATAGACTAGACTATAGACAGACTATAGACTAGACTATAGACTAGACTATAGACTAGAGACTATAGACTAGAACTATAGACTAGACTATAGAACTAGACTATAGACTAGACTATAGACTAGACTATAAGACTAGACGATAGACTAGACTATAGACTAGACTATAGACTAGACTATAGACTAGACTATAGACTAGACTTACTAGACTATAGAACTAGACGAAGACTAGAAGCTATGAACTAGACTATAGACTAGACTATAGACTAGACTAATAGACTAGACTATAGACTAGACTATAGACTAGACTATAGACTAGACTATAGACTAGACTATAGACTAGACTATAGACTAGACTATAGACTAGACTATAGACTAGACTATAGACTAGACTATAGACTAGACTATAGACTAGACT